CCTCACAGTTTGCTAAAGGAATGATAGGACTATTGTGTCTATGTCCGCAAGAAGTGGCCCACTTGCACAAAGAATTGCTTTTAGCTGCCTGTAATATTTTAGCCTCAGAGCCAAGAGGTAGTAAATGCTTTTTTTTATATTACTTAAATATGTCTTGTTTTTTTCCTTTATCCTGAAACATGTTTTCTTTAATTTTAAATAAATGACTCATTTTTGTAAAAAAAAAATTTAAATTTAGATACCATTTGAAAAATATTGTTTGAAATGTTCTCTGTGTGTACTAGTTCTCCTTATTTTTTGAGAAATTCTTTAATTTTTGTGCCATTTTCAGAATTGTGCATATCTCACTAATTATATCTAAAAATTAATGACTCTAAGAAAAGGAAATTTAATAAAGATATAATAGCAGGATTTTTCTAAAAAAAAGAATTATAAAATTATATTTTAAAACAGTCTTTCTCACTCCTAAATAGTTCATAATTTAAATACTATTATTTTAAAAATAAACTGTGTTATTATATATCTATTATTTGATAAGATTCTCTGCCATGTTTAAATGTGTGATTTTTATGGTAGTCATCAGTATCATTATTAGATTGGAAACCTAACTGGAAAATATTTAAAAAAAATTCTATTTTTATTACTATAAAAATCTCTAAAATTCCTTATGTGTAAAATATTTAGTACATTTTGCAAAAATTATCATGAAATTTATAATATTTCATGAAATCTACTGGAATTTTTCCTATGCTGATGGGTAAGAAACTAATTTTTTGAAAAGTAAGTACTTGAAAAATGAGAACTATACAAATTTCTTGCCATTTTATTTTTAAAACTTACTGCCATGAAATAATAATAAAAAAACAAGTTTGTTAAAGCTGGGGGTTTGTTAAAGTCTGTCGTCTGGGAGCAAAATTATCTACAAATTTAAATTTTATGAATATATTTTTTCCTTAAAACTCCTTTTTGGAAATAGTGTTTTTAAAATTAAAGCTCATGTTTTTCTTGTTTTTTTTTCTATTTAGCATTTTGTACTCAACATTTATTTTAACATTTTGTGCTTAATAAACTAATAAAAGTTTCAAAATTTAAAATAAATGTTGAGATTGTCCAGTTTTTTTATTACATATTGCATTGTTTAATTTTATTGAATGATTTCAGAATACAAAATGTTCCGTGTGTGATGGTTGCATCTTTCGAAGGTTTTCTTTATATCTATGAACTGAACGTTGAAATGCGAGGAGATCGTATTTAAATAAAACAGCACAGGTAGGAAATATTTGCTTCTTAAAAATAATAATAAACATGAATTGTGTATTATTCTCTTCAGAGTTTGGAATTTTTTTGCTGGTAAAACTTCCCATAAAAACTGTGGTTGGTTAGATTTAAAGACATCAAAACTATCTCAAAATTTTTTTGTTCGTAGTTAGACTTTTTTTATATGTTTATTCGTCGTTGAGCAATCTACCCAATTTTGGGTTTACGACTACTGCTAATGTTCAATTCCATAGCCTTGTAATGTTGAAATAATCCAGAATACAATGAAACTCCTGTATCAGTACTCCCAGAGGTATGATTTGTTATCGGAACATGGAGGACTTTGTGACTCGACGGATTTAACGTGCATCAGTCACCAGTTACTACACCAGGAGTCTTCGGCCGGCGCAGATCGAACCCACGAACTCTTAGTGCTCCAGTGCCCTACCAACCAGGCTATCCCAGCCTCATAGTTAGACTTTGTAAAAGTTAAGCATTACATAATTATTGAGTAGCAATAAACTGTAACTCAAATTAACTACGCATTATTTAAATTATTATTAAATGCTGATCGAAGTGTTTAAAAATAGTTAGGTTTTTCCTTTCTCATTTAGTTAGTCTAAAAACTAGACATTGCAAGGTAGTTTTGTGTTAAACAACTAAGACAATGGCATTTAATCAAGCTGTAATTTCTGGAGTTTTCTTTTTTAAGATATATTTAAAAGAAATATCTGCTTTTACAAATGACTCAAAACTGTTATGAGATTTAAGGATAAAGTTATTAGGGGTCTGTCTAGGTTTCTTTTAGAGGTACCTATTTTGTGAAAATTTAGACATAATTTGTTAAAATTAAAAGTTACATCAAAAAATCAACACAAAAATATGGTAAAATAAGAAATTATTTTCAAAAATTGTCACTACAAATAAAAATCATCTATGACTAGTAAATTTCTATATATTTTTGTCCATGTATTAAAAAATAATTTCGCTATTGTTAAATTTCGGGCTTAAAATTGTTTCCAAATTTAAAAATCCATTGTTCATAGTTAAATTTCAACTTGCATTTAACAGTACTAGAAATAAGTTATTTTTATTATGAGAAAATTTTCGACTACGTCATACAGAAAAAAGTTTCACAGAGAAGAAAACGTTTCATACAAAAATAAAGATCTGTTAGAATAAATTTACAATAATGAAGATAATATTCAAATGTTTAGAATAAAGTTTGAATTTTGTCTTCCTTTAAAGTTTATAGAGAGAGAATCTCATTGCTTCATTTTAAAAAACTCTAGAATTTATAGTTTCTTTATGGGGATACAAAAGCAAAATTTTAAGAGGTGGAGAATCTTTGAACTTACTTATTTTAAAGTATTTTGTTAAACTACCGTTTTTTCAAAAGTTGGTTTTGTGAAGGTACCGCTAAACAGTAGTAAATTTACCCTGAACAGACTACTGGTTATTCTTTGAGTTTGTGCAATTCATTTTCTATATACACATGCATTTTAAAACTTATTTAAATAATCTTAAAATTTCAGGATTTCAATTGGTCTGTTAAGCAAACATTTTAAATTAAATGTGAGTGAAAAGTATAGTTAGATATTAATTTATTTAGTTTTTAAAATTTTGTGAGTGCAATAAGCATTTTTGATGTTTAATCTATGACAATTCTAATGCTCATTCATACTAGTTTTTAAAGATTAAATTTTTTGTTATAAAATTGAATGCAATATGTTCATTATTTTATTTTATAATATGTTTAATTGTTTAGATTAATAAGTGGCCATTATTTTAAACTTTATTTTAAATCAGTTTTACTTGTAAAACCAGTTTGTACTCGTGTTGAACATTGGTTAATATGTTAAGCATAGGTATAGTTTGTCTATGATATGAACTCTGCCCACCACGAAGTCTGTGGCCGTCTGCTGCTATGGAACCAAGAATAGCGCATTTCAGGGAGGATAGCTTCTCTTCATTATAGGGGGAAGAAAAGGATTCCCTTTCTTTCGTCGACTCGAGCCAAAACCTGTTCTAAACAACGACCCCACTTGAAATAGTTATACTTCGTTACCCCATATAGATGGCAGCACTTTTTTAAATTTTTACTCATTGAATGTTTTTCTCTTTTATTTTTTCAGGATTTTCAAAAAAGGGTCAGCACTTGACTTATTTCTAAAGTTTTCTTAATGATTTGGCAATTTATATTTTTTTTATATATGGGAGTCTCTTTATTAGATCTTAGTCTGTGTGCTTTTAAATCATATGATGTGAACTTTTAAATTGGGACTGTTTGTCATTATTTGTACATTATTTGTCATTGAAAGTACAGATTAAAGAAAACATTCAGGGCTGTCTTAATATAGACTTGCATAGCTGTAGAAAGTAATTAATAAACATGAATTTTTTTCACAAAAAAAAAATACAAATGTTAATTTAAATTCTACCTTTTGATT